AGTGCTATGTCCTGAGGAGCAATAAAATCAGCTTGAAGACTAAGGTGCGCCTGATGCAAGCCATACTCTTTCTAATCACCTGCTATGCATCTGAGAGTTGAACAATGAGTAAGGATGACTCAAGATGCCTCTGAGTTGTGGTGTTGGAGAAGAGTACTGAGTACACTATGAACCAGCAGAAGAAAAAAAATATAGCTCTGTCTTGGAGAAGGCGTAGCCAGGGTGCTCCTTGGAGGCAACCATGGTGAAACTAGGTCTCACATATTTTAGGCATGTTGCTAGGAGAGACCAGTTACTCGAAAAAGACATAAGCTTGGAAAGGTAGGGGATTGAGGAAGAAGAAAAAGACCTTGCAAAAGTTGCATTGACGTGGTGACTTGAACAATGAGCTCAAGTGTTTCGGAGATGGTGAGGACGACACAGGACAGGGTAGGGTGTAGATTTGCTGACTGTAGGGCAGCCATGAGTCACAGTCGACTCTACGACACCCGACAACAATAAAATTTGGAAAAGTGCGAAGTATTGTAGTATGACCAAAATGAGACCCAAAGCAAACACATCTGGTGGGATAGGATGCTGACAAATTTGCTCCATACACAGTTACCACAGACTTTCAGTCTGAAAAGTTTGTAAAAGAAGAAAAAAACCCAGCAAACAAAATTCACCAACCCACATCTGTGTAGCACCGTAAGGAGGTGAGGCGCAGTTAAAGGAGGTGTGTCTGGGTGTTTGACTTTGGAATCTTCAAGTGGTGCTGGAATGAAACATTTCCGATTATAATTAGGAACAGCCTTCGAGAAATAACGAGATCAAAACTTAAGCTTGTTCAAAGCACGATCTCCTAAACGGGATTTTGGGGCTTTCCTGTGTTGTGATCACTTTTGTGCGGCCCGCACCTGCTGGTGGCTAATTTGGTTTTTTTTGCTGAAATGGCCACGTGGACACAAACTGCGGGGCTGTCTTTAGTTTGTGAGCTTCAACACAATGGACTGCTAGGATGTGCAGCGGCCGCCATACTAAAGCATAAATTAGGCCAAATTTGTTTGAAATCCTGTCTTTAGAAAGGCTGTGTGTTTTGACAAAACTTGCAGCAAATTTGGCCCAGCTTTGGGCTTTGTAATGAAACCTGAAACCAAGCATGTTAGCCTGCCTTGGGGTGCTCCTTATAGAAGTTTCGAGCAGCCTGAGTGTAGTGTCGCTTCTAAGCTCATCCTGGCAAGCGCCCGTGCTGGGCTGTGCTAGATGTGGCGGGTGGACTGTGCAAGAATTTCATGTAATTACAAAATAGCACGGACCAAGGCTGCAATTTGGGGCATTTCTGCAAATTGCAGAATTAGCAATATCTTATTCCCTCTTGGATCAGCTCGAAGAGTGACTTGGAGATACCCCAAGTCATGATTGGGGCACAAAGTTAATTAATCTGCTTATTAAAAGAAGAAATGTCTCATTTGCATGCATTTACATTCCGATCTTACATATGCCACGCTTTTCCATAATCTGCTCTCATTCCTTTGGAGCATTGTCCCAGCGAGATGTCAGCACAATATGCCGAACGTTTCTGTGGGCTGGGCGGTGCTGAAGAGACCTAGGGCTGGAGATCTTTGGCTCTAGTAGAATTTAAAGTGGACAGAGGAGGACTGACGAGGAATCAATGCTTTTTAATTGCAGTGCTGGTGAGGAATATGGGATACTCCATGGGCTGTCCAAACCCAAACAAATGCATCTTGGAAAAGTGTAGCTAGAGTGCATCCTCCTTTGATGTGAGGGTGGCGAGGTAAGGCCTCATGCACTCTGGGCACGTTATTAGAAGAATGTGATTCTTGGAGAAGGATATGGTGCTTGGAAAAGGAGCTGGACAGCAATAGAGAAGAAGACTCTATTTGGAGATAGATTTGACTTAATCACAGCTAAGATGGTGAGGACAGTGCAGGAGCAATGGGGCAGGGTTCTGTTCTGATGGGCATAAGAGAGGAAGCTTTGTTCTGTTAAACACGGGGTCATTGAGTCACAGGCACCTACCTCAACAGCACCCCACCCTCTAGGAACTGCTCAAGAGGCAGTTCTGGCTTTGGTAGCCCCTGCCTGACAAGCAGAACTATGTTCCACAGGGCTCTTTGATTATTCTAATTCATTGATAATTAATTCCGATAATTGAGAGGTGGTGCTGGAGAAGAGTCTTGAACATACCATGGATGGCCAAAAAACCAAATAAGTCTGTCTTGGAGAGGGTGAAACCAAGTCTCTCCTTGGAGGCTAGGATTTTGCACCTTTATCTCACATACTTTGGGCACTTGGCCAGGAGGAACCAGTTCTTGGAGAAGGACATCATACTTGGAAGGGTGGAGGGACAGCATAGGAAAGGAAGACCCTGGATGAAACGGATTGATACAGTAACTAGGGGAATCGAGGTAGCTGTGTTGGAGTCAGAGAGACTAACTCAGGACAGCACAGACTTCAGAGCTGCTGTACAGAGAGTTGCTACGAGTCACAGATGCCTCAAAGGCACATTACAACAACAACGTCTTCTACAATATCAAACTGTAAAAGTTGGTAGAAGCCCTCAATCTCCTCCTCTTTGGCTTTGCTTGTGATTTAGGTGTGTCTAATTAAAAGACATATTGCCATGGGAAAGTCTACTGTTAGGGACCTCTCCAAAGTACTGAAGAACAATGGTGTCTCCCTGGAGATTAAGGTGCAGCTGATACAGGCCATGGTCTTTGCAATCACTTGTTATGCGTCAGAGAGTTGGACAATGACTAGGGAGGATAGAAGGAGAATTGATGCCTTTGAGTTATGGTGCTGGAGAAGAGTGCTGAGGGTACCATGGACTGCTAAAAAAACAGATTCATCCTAGAGAGGGTTAAATCGGACTGCTCTTTGAAGGCAAGCATTCTGAGGCTTCGTCTGACACACTTTGGACATGTTGTAAGGAGAGACCAGTCCTTGAAGAGGGGCATCATGCTTGCTAGGGTGGAGGGACAGCCCAGGAGGGGAAGGCCCTCTATGAGGTGGATTGATTCAGTGACTGGGGTAATCGGGATGGGTGTGTCGGAGACAGTGCGATTGGCACAGGACAGAGCAGAGTGTAGCGCTGATGTACAAAGGGTCACTATGAGTCCCAAGCGACTGGATGGCACATAACAACAACAACAGCAATTAAGGCCATGGTCTTCTCAATCACCTGTTATTATGCATCAGAGAGCTAGACAATAAATAAAGTTGACAGGAAATTGATGCCCCTGAGCTGTGATGTTGAAGTGTACTGAATATCCCATGGACTTCTAATAGAATGAACAGGTAGCTATGTCTTAGGAAAAGTGTAGCTGGAGTGCTTCTTGAAGGCAGAGAGGGTAAAGCTTCATCTTTCTTATTTTGCACATGTAACTAGGCAAAGTTATTCCTTAGAAAGAGACATTGTGCTTGGAAAGATGGAGGGTCAGCGAAGGAGAGAGAAAGACTCTCAATGAAATCGACTGACAATGTGACTTTAGCAATAGACTTTAGTGTGTCAAAGGAGATAAGGATGGCACAGGATGAGGCAGGATCAAGTCGGATAGGCTGTTCCTAGTATCGCTCTGAGTTGTACTTGACTTGATGACATCTAACAGCAACAGCAACAACAACAACAATAATCTTCTGCAGCACCTCTGGGTAAATTCAAAGCACTTCAGTTCATAACTGAAGCCACTACCATTTCAGCTGGTAGAAAGCCCTAGACCTTTAGCTCCACCAACAGACTCCTGACAGTCCAGTAGACCATATTCTCTGTTGAGATTCCTCTCCCAGTCCTGGGATATCCAGGTTAACTCCCAGGCACTGTACAGCGCAGTCAGGAAAAAGACTTGTGTACTTTACCCATCTTGGGAAACAAGACCTTGTCTCAAGCCACTCTGCGCCCTTTTCTTGGGATGATCCATTTCATTATCTACCACTTCCTACTCAGCTCAATTTGCCATAGCCACAGTTGTGGGCATTTTCTCCTCCTTTGCCTTTCCTTATATTATTGAGAGGTCTGCTTTTGGAATTCTTTTGTGGGGAGGGGAGTGTCCTAGTAAAAAAAAAAAAGGCCATTGCTTTTTGGATTTCATTTCGGAGTTAAAGAGGGCTGTTATTAGAAAATGCCCAGGTAGGTAGAGCCCAGACCCCCTTCAACCGTCTTTAGAGGGCTGAATTGAAGTGTTGAGAGGAGAGAGGCCATGGGACAAGGTAATGGCCAGGGAGGGCCAGGGACTCAGCAAGGAAGGGTCCGGATGCAAAGAACAGAATGGGTTGCTGCAACTACAGTTAAGTGAAACCAACTCCTTAGAAGAATTAGTGCGAGGGAGGGCGATGTTTGCGCGGGAGTGAGTTGGGGGGCTCCTGCACGGTCTCTTTATTTTGGAACAATCATACAGCCCCGTGCATGACAAGGTGTGGCTGGGAGTGAGTGGAGCCGCTTGGGCAGCGGGTCAAACCACCTCTATGCTAACAAGCTTAGCAATCAGGTTCTGAAGGGTCCTGGCTGGAGGAGGGGAGGAAGGAAAAAAAAAGAAAGAAAGAAAGAAAGAAACCCAAACCAAACCTTAGACCTCTGTCAGACTGTGAGCAGAATGATATTTGTGAACTAGTTCCCAGCGTGGACAGGAAATGACCTCTCCACAAACCGCTTCTTTAAAAACAAGCAGTGGTGCCTAAAGCTATCCAGTGTCTCCCTCCCTCGCAGCCTCCCGCCCTCCTCCCTCTCCGCGCGCCCTCCTCCCGGCCTCCCTCCCTCCGCCCCCCTCCTCTCCGGCTCTCCCTCTCCCTCTCCCTCTCCTCTGCGCTCGCCTGAGCGGCCCCCACCGCAGTTCCCAGCCAGCGTGCACAGCCTGCCTCCTGCCTCCTGCGCCGGGGGTGCGCGCGCGGGGGTGCGCGCGGGTGTGTGCGTGCGTCTACTTTGTACTGCCAAGAAGACAGCCCCATGTGCTCTGCATGGACCTTCCTGCTACTCTGTTGAGCTTGATTCTCCAGCAGCAGGCAAGATGTCCAGCACGCCGCATGACCCCTTCTATTCTTCCCCTTTCGGCCCATTTTATAGGAGACATACCCCCTACATGGTGCAGCCAGAGTACCGAATCTATGAGATGAACAAGAGACTGCAGTCGCGCACGGAGGTAAGTACTTCAGACCTGGGCGTGTGTTTGTGTTTTTTACCCCCCCCCCCCACTAAGGTGCATAGGCTTTTCCCTCTCCTGTGGGTTCAGGCTGAATTCACCGGGAAGTGTCCCACTAGGTACTGCTGTGCCCCTGGAAGGAGCTCCTCGGTGGAGCCACTAGTTTGGAAGCTCAGGCTTCCAGGCAGGGCAACTCTTGGAGCAGGGGGACAGTTTTTAGTGGAACCTGGAAATAGACAGCCCTGTGCTTGTCTCTCAAGGCGGGTCTCCAGAAACCCTGCTCTCCCAGGACTCGGCTTGGCAGGCTCTGAGTCCGCGCCTCGGTGTGTTCGTTGAGATAGAATTGCACAGGCTTTTGTGATCGTTTGCATGGAGAAAATACATTTTCGTTCTTAAGCACGTCCCCCGAGGAAGTCCTCTGTGACCTGCATTTGCTTTCCAAAGTCATCAAAAATCAAGGTGAAAGGGAAGAAGTGTCACCCAACATACTTTCTGAACCAGCCCTGAAGGGAAGCCTGTTTGTGCATTACTATGTTGATGCCCAGGGTTGGAATTTAGTTGCAATGCAATCAGTTGCATTGGGTCCAGGGGCTTCTGACTTTCTCCTCTAGTTGGGGTGCTTCCTAGGGGACCCCTGCCTGTCCCTAGGAGCTGGATCTGCATTAAGAGTGCCTTCGAGTTTTTGCATACTTTTGATGTGGTGTTGGAGGGAAAACCCAGCCTCCTAGGAGAGTAGCTTTGGGAGCTGAAGGGAGACCGGGACTTTAAGAACTTTAGAAATGCAAAACTCTAGACTTGCCTCTTTGCAATTTAAATCTTTAATGCCAGTTGACTTTTGAGCGCTAACTCAGCTGGCGGGTCCTGCTGCAGGATTTCAGGTGCTTTGATAAGTTGAGGTTTTGTGAAGCAGTGTTCTGACAAGGAGTCTGGGGTGGGTGCACCCAAGTCTCTTTGCGAAGTGGAATTCTTTGGGAATTTAGTCTTCCTTCTCTGCAGTCTGCAAACAAATGCCTGGAGGACTATGGCAAAGAGTTGTGAAAGAACAGCTGTGGTGGAATTTCAGATTGATCATTGACTGTCCACTCTGAAAGAGAGAGAGAGAGAGAGAGAGAGAGAGAGAGAGAGAGAGAGAGAGAGAGAAGTACTCAGTTAAGATTGTGTTGTAAAATAAAACACACAGTCTGGAATTGTCAAACGAGCCATGGAGAATTCATGATGTTTAATGTATTTAATGCAGCTAACAAGATGTGACCTGCTTTCTGATTGGTTGGTTGTTGGAGAAGGACTGGGTTCCCCCCCCCTTTATTATTATTATTATTTAACGAGCTGTTTTTATCATTGCTGTTTTCTTTACATTTTAATACATCATAGATGTTAACTATAATTGAGCCATTTCTCTCCCTAGAAGCCAGCAGCTTGTATGGAAGTGGTAACTGTTTTGCTTAGGGTGGTGAACAGTTGGCAGTAAATGATATTTGTGTGTTGTTTTGTTTGGTTATATGCACCCATGTTTCTGTTTCATTCAGATCTTTGCCAGAGTGTGTTGGAATCTTAAATGCCCCCCAGAACAACCCAGAAAACAAAACCTAAAAAAACTATTAATTTAAGTAGCCTGCCTTAGGAATCAGGAGCATGGAAAATGCCTTAAGAGTTCAGGCACACGTCAATTCCAATGCACAGTTTTAAAAACTCCGTTTAAAGTATGATTGGTTTTGTTTAAAAAAAAAATTAGAAGCTGTCATGACTCAGTTCTTGGTCAGCAACTGGTTTTTAAACACAATCTGTGTCCACCTACATTTCAGAAAGTTTTTGAGGAGTTCTGGAAAGACGCACTTCCATTCTCCTGCAGTTTGGGTCTGGGTTCACCTGAGCTCCTTGTTCACTTGGCCATATCTGACCTTGGAGACTAACCTGGGGAGTGCCTTGCCCTAAGGCTCGTATAAACCCACAGGGTAGAATGTGATGAGTTCATTTCTTTCACATTTGAGGAATGGCTTTTGAGAAGCCCCCCTCCCCCATCCATAGTATGTGTCTTCAAAACCGATAGGCAGTTTTTCATGAGCGCTAAACTTAGGAACGCTTAACTTTTGGATTAGGGGGTATTACTTTTAAAGAGTTTTCTCTGACTAGAAAACCCTGTCTCATCGCTCAGGCACTGGGAGAGGAAAGCTTGCAGTGACAGAATCTTAAAGATTTTTTTTTTTTCAAACCTCTCTGACTGTGACAATAAGCCACTATGAGCTATTTCCTGGTGTGTTGTGGATCCAGCCCTGAACATAAAAACTCCGAACATTTCCCCCTCTTAATTAGATTCTTAAAAATCATTATCCCAATAGTCCTCCGGATGCTCTTTTTTGCTAAAAAGTTTATGATATTCTAAATACCATACCATACCATACCATACCATACCATACCATACCATACCTACATTTGCTTATATTTAAATTGATTTGTATCTTAAGTTAAATACTGACCACATTAAGTTACATACTGACCATATTAAAAATATGATATATGGAAAGCACTTGGGAGGGGGGAAATAACTTTTCCTGAAAAAAGTTTCACTGTGCTTCTACTAATGTTTATTATGGCTGATAAAACAATCTTAAGCCCCGTACAGGAACTGTTTGGAATAAGAGACAGCAGAGCTCACCAAAAATTATTGTTTAATAAGCACCCAAAATCAAGTAAATTGTTGAGCAATATTATTTAAGTTTAACCAACATAGTCTTCTTTTCTTTTTCTCCTGGTGCCCACTTCCACCCCACCCACTGCCATCAGAGTTAATTCCAACTCAGGGTGAGAACCTCAAACTCTTTTGGGTTTCTGAGACTGTACTTCTTAACAAGAGGAGACAGCCTCACCCTTACTCCACAGAGTGACTGGTGGGCTTGGATTGCTGATCTTGTGTTTATCCGCTTAGCCACGTTTCCTAACCCGTAGCATCTCTGGCACACTCATGGCACCTGTGCACATGTACAAATAATGCTCTGGGTTCTCCATTCCTTTTTGAACTTTTACACATCAACTGCCAAAAGAAGGAAGGAAGGAAGGAAGGAAGGAAGGGAGGGAGGGAGGGAGGGAGGGAGGGAGGGAGGAAGGAAGGAAGGAAGGAGAGAGAAAGAAAAAAGAACGACAGCATATCAGTTGATGACTAATGAAGAGTGTGAATCGAGTTTTGAGAAATGTTCTTGAAGCTTCTTTCTTTTGCAAGGGAAGTCAAAAAGAGCCGGGCCACTTGGTCAGCTGTGCATTGCACCTCATTTTCCCATGTGCCCTTCTGGGGATGAGTGCCTCTCTCCCTTTTATACCAAAGCCAAGCTCTTCAGAAGCCACCTTGTTTTAGTGTAAAAACGATTGGACTGGTTGTTAATCTTGTTTTTGACTCATCTCAATCACTACTAATTGCTCACTTAAAGATTACCCGGAAGTGCATCTTTCTATTTGAAAATAAAATTCACCTTCTTCAAAAGCCCGAGCAACCTTAACTAGGAGAAAGAATTCGATCTGGAATTCAGGGGTATGCCTATTAGTTTTTTGCTTGGGACCCAATTTACGTTCACAAACCCAAACCAAAAAGCCAATCTCGTTGCCATGAGGGAGTCTCACTCGTAGTGAGGCCACAGGACAGCGTAGAACAGTCCCATAAGGTTTCAAAACTGTAAGTCCTTGGGGAAACAGATTTGCCCTATATCTGCCTCCAGTGGCGCAGCTGATGGGCTTGAAACACTAACCTTTGGATTAGCAGCCGGATGCCACAGTGCCTATCAAACTCACAAATACCAAAATAGACAGGAATTTATTGGCGAACCCTTGGGAGGAAGGGACCAGTCTGTATTGTTTAAAGTTATGTTTAGACGTTTCCTTGTACAAACAAGATACACAGCATGCATCTGCAGCCTCGCCAATTGATCAGCTGATAAGAAGCGGAAGAGGTGTCCAGGGACTTTTTCCCAGAATCTGCCAAACAGTCATGGTGCATTTTAGGGTGTGAATCCCTCCTGTGAAGCCTAAGCTGCCCCTTGTATCTGATTCCTCATCCCAGCTCACCAGCCTGTCACTTGATATAGTTTAATTGGAGAGTCCTTGTGCCAAATGAAAGCCAATGTCTGGTAGCCTCGCCCCTTGGAAGGCGTCCTGCTAACGCGGAGGCCTCACTTCTCCAGTGGTTCAAATCCCCCAGCAGCTCTGAGGGAGAAAGCTGTGCAGTGTCCTCTCTATGCCATTTACAGCCATCCTGCTGCCGAATCAGCCAGGAGTTGAATCTGGCTCAGAGTGGTGACGAGTGTGGGTTTTGCAGAGGTTAGAGGACATGACCTCTTTCAGAAAAACGCGGACGCCACAGCAGCACTAAAGTACGGTTTGGATGCTGTTTGCAGTGTTCTGGGAAATACAATTACTTTGCAACATCAAATCTCAGTGGAACTTTATAAAGAAATGTGTGGGTGTCTCCGTTCTGAAATGAAATTAAGGGAAAACTCTTTGGTGTTCTGTCATCATTGTTTACTGTAATTCCCAGCCCCTTGAAAGAAGGCTTCTATTTTTCCATTGCGAGTAGTGCTGTGATTTGTCGCTGACCTCTTCTGAAAGGCAGATAGTTGAATGTCCCTGTTGTCCCAAACTAGAAGGATACAACTTCACCCTTATAGAGCTTAACACTGCATGCCAGACAACACTCAGGTTGTAGAAATACGTGCTGAAGACTTCAGAATTTGTCTCCTAAAAAGCTCCTGTAATAATAACTACAATTTTTTTTTCCTTTCAATTCCTGAGGTCGGTGCTATGAGATAAAAAAAAAAAAATACTAGTAATATAAATGAACATGATAGTAAACATTGTTTTAGGTGATGGGATTTAGCTCTTTTTACGGAATTTAAGAAAGCTTCCTTTGGAAAGTTATCTTTCTGATAGTAGTTAACTTTCCTGAACTTTGTTCCCTCCTTCAGATAGCCAGAACTGTCTCCAACCAAATAAAAATATTTTTCACGAGTACTTCGTTC